GCCCCTGTATTTTACAGTCTGTCAGTCTTACTTGTTCTGTCCCTCTGCACCAAAATAACCGTTACGGCATCAATGTACCTCTATGCTTCTCAGCACTCAAGCAAATACTCGAACGTTTTTGTTTCGTTTATTTTTTTCTTCTAAATTTTGGATGTTGAATTCTTCACCAATAACATGTATCTCTCCGTTGTCTTCATCGGTCTCGAACCAGAACCGGACACGATGGTCGTACAAGGCGAACACCCTGTATCTTCTGTCTATTTGTCTTGTTTGTTCTGTTCCCCCCCTGCACACAAATAACCGTTATTACATCAATGTTCCATGTACATCTGTGCTTCTCGTCACTCAAGCAAATACTCGAACGCTTTTATTTTTAGAATTTGGATGTTAAATTATTCCCCAATAGTGGGTGGTTGGCGGGTGCTCTGGTGTGGTTTTCTTTTTCTTTCCTATCAAGCATCTATCGTCCTGATCTCCCCTCCTTCTTTGTTTGTGTTTGTTACTCTCTTGTAACACCTCTAATCTTTGGCACTTATATGACCTTATTGTGTTGCAGGTGCCGTAAAACTCTTATTAGAAAAGAAAAAAAATCACCAATAACATGTATCTCTCATCTGTCCTCATCGGTCTCGAACCAGAAGCAGACACAATGGTCGTACAAGGCGAGTACCGCTATCCTGACGGCTCCGTCTACAACGGCCAGTGGGACGATCAAGGTCAGCGTCACGGCCAGGGCCTGCTCACTCTCGCCGACGGCGGCAATTTCCGGGGCAACTTCGACCAGGGCTTCTACAGCGGCCTCGGGGTCATCAACTTCGCGGATGGGAGCAGGTGAGTCTGTCCTTCGGTTCGTCTCTCCGTCTGTCCATCTGTCCACCCACCATCTCTCCATCCGTCCAGTTTCCACTTCTCCTTCATGTATCCGTCCGTCCATTTTCCACCCGCTCTTCCTCCACTCTTCATTTGTCCATTCCCTCCTATCCATCTTTCCGTCATCATCCACCTTTCCAGCACCACCCATCTATCCTTCCTCCACACTTATCCATCCGTCCGTCCATTCTCTGTCCATCCTCCATCCACCCTTCCTCTGCCCTTCATCCACCTTACTGCTATCTTTCATCTGCCCTCCGTCCATGCTCCATCCGGTCTTCATCTGCTGTTCATCCATCCTTTATCCATCATCCATCCATCTTTCGACCATCCTCCATCCATCTTTCGACCATTCTCCATCAATCATTCAACCATCCACTGTTCATCCTGCTACGATCCATTGCTCATCCTTCAACCATCCATTGTTCATCCTTCGACCATCCATTGTTCATCCTTCGACCATCCATTGTTCATCCTTCGACCACCCACTGTTCTTCCTTCGACCATCCACTGTTCATCCTTCGACCATCCACTGTTCACCCTCCATGTATCTGCCCAGTGTGCGCTGACACGACGTACTAACGTGTTACTCTATAGGTCTGACTTCCCTTCTCCGGTTTCATGAAGACCCCAATGTAAATGGCTGGACTTAAACAATTTTTAAATGTTTGACAAAGTTTTCGATCTCACTGAATGGGTTTTATATTTGCTTATTCAGAACAATTTACGTTCTTAGCGCACCCCCCCCCCCCCCCCCCCTTTTGGCCCGTTTCTTTCAGTATTGACAGGGTTGATGAAATATTATGAACTTCTGTACTGATTCGAACGTCCAATAGTAAAAAAAAAAAATTGGGTTTTCTTTTTGTACCCGGTTACTACCTTCACCGCAATTTCCTCCCCAAGCCATCATCATCATCAGCAGCAGCAGCAGCAACAGCAGCAGCAGCAGCAGCAGCAGCAGCAGCAGCAGCAGCAGCAGCAGCATTACCATCATCAGTATCAGCATCAAAACAACAACGACAACAACAACAACAACAACAACAACAACAACAACAACAACAACAACAACAACTACTACTACTACTACTACTACTACTACTACTACTACTACTACTACTACTACTACTACTACTACTACTACTACTACTACTACTACAACAACAACAACAAAAATAACAACACTGGTTCGGGTTGTCGCTGACATAGTTTCCGATAGAGGATGCTGCACATTCTTGTTTGTTTTTGTTAAAAATGATTCTCTCATAACATGCGCGTTCAAATTCGGGAAATTTTAATATTTCTCCTCACTGATATACGATATCTGTTCGTGTTCGACGAAGCCTGGTTACCTTCCAGAATGGTGTGTGTGTGTGTGTGTGTGCGTGTGTTGTGTGTGTGTGTGTGTGTGTGTGTGTGTGTGTGTGTGTTGTGTGTGTGTGTGCGCGCGCGCGCGTGTGTGTGTGTGTGTGTATGTGCGTGTGTGTGTATGTGTGTGTGTGTGTGTGTGTGTTAGCGATTATGCATTGTGCCTGTAATTTTATGATGGTGCTTTTTTATGATGGTGTTAATGGTTCTTCCGTATTATTCTTATACACCGAGTTAACCTGACATAAAGACTTTGCCTAATGCATAAATGTATGTACAGAATATCCGTCTCTGTCGTTAAGTTTTCGTTGCGAGAATCCCATGCACCCAAAAAAACGACTGCCACATCTGCTGGCTACTTTATCATCCTTTTTTAACCTTTCCCATCGATTTCTTTGATACTCTGCATATATTAGCCCAACCAAGTCCGTTTAACTTTACCGCTCTTTTTGTTGGTGATTTTTTTCCCCATAACAATTGTTGTATCGGTCCCATGGGGGATTTGTTATGTTTTGGGTTGGCTGTTTTATTTTTTTTTCTTTGGTTTTTTCCCCTTCTTGTCCAGGAAACGCATCGATTGTAGTAGAATGTTATTCAAGTAGTTGAAAGGAACTCTCAGGGTGAAGGAGGGGACACGGAGTGACGTGAAGTTTTCAAAGCGCTCTTTGTTGTTGAATTTCTAGGGGTTTTTTGCTTTCAACTCGTTTGCCAAGTTAGCTGTCGGTGCTGGCGGCGCTCAGCATCCGCTTTTGCCAGGTCTAAGGTAAAAATTATCGTGTAGCTGCTGAACGCTACAGCTTATGATAACGTCTTTATTGCCATCTTTATAGAGGTCGCAGCTTGCGTGTCTCAGAATTGATATTATTTCAGAATTATTGCGACCGACTGAATCATAGGGTAAAATGTCTCAGGGTTGTCTAAAATTTTCTATATTATTTCGGCGTGGGACGAAAGTGAAAGGAAAGGGATTGAGTGGGCAATTGCACGCTTGTGAAAACAAAAAGTAATTTTCACTACTTTTCGTAAGAAAAAAAAATCGTTGAAAATCCGGAATCCAATGCCAGAACAAACGAGGAACTGACAATATGCCGAAACCGAAAGAATGTATATTGAGACAGCGAAAACTTCCCCCGAGGAATACAAAGGGAACGACATCTATCTCAGCACAACCTGTTGTAGATGGTTGGTGGGATCTGTACTGTGGCATGCTCCTCCCACTTTTGTGTGTGTGACCATTGTGCAGTTATCTGATCGCCGTGAAACGTGATTGGTATTGTACCGGCGTCTGTGGTGTAGCGACTAGGCACTTTGTTGTCGCACGAAGAAGACTTACGAGTTCGATTCCCATGTTGGGGAGATTTTTTATGGAGTACCTCGGTGTTGCTGCTGCGAAATTGTGTCCCACTCAGCTGGGGTTGGCCCTGACACGCAGGATCGAAGCCCGCCTCCTAAATGGGGTGGTGGGAAGGACACTTATTTTTAAAAAACATGCAACCCCCCCCCCCCCCCACAAAAACAAGCAACAACATGCCACAACAACAACAACAACAAAAACAACAAAAACAACAACAACCAAAACTCAGGTATCGTGCTGGCTTGACAGGAAATACATTTACAACCAGAGCAAGAATACCAGTGATATAAATGTTGCGGGTTTTTAAAAATACCATTTCGGGAAAAGTCTGCTTGAGTCCCCCTGGGAACTTTCTTGGCCTACTATATACACTAACTACATGGGAAAGACGTGTAAATCTAGTGTGTTTTCTACTATAATGTAACCCTCTACACAGGCTCTGCGCACACTTGGAAGATTTCCCCTCGTCGCACGGTTGCGAAGCATGACGTTACTTGTCGGTGAAAATTGATGATGAAGGGGCGAAAACTGCCTCATTAGCATGCTCCCAGCGGTGCATCGAGTGGAAATTTTCCTAGTGAGCGCGGAGCCTTAGTCTTGACAGGCAGAGTCAAAGAATTTCGCTTCCTTTAAAAAAAAAATCTAATTTGCGTGGATGGAGGCGTAGTACACTTATTATGGCAATAAAATATATCTTTTTAAAATCACTTTGAAATGTGCCTTGTTTTGCCTACAGAACATTTGAATTCAAACCTGATAAATTACCGCAGATAAATGGGCATAGCCAAGCCCTATTTCTTGCTATGAAATGATGCAATTCTGTATCGAAAAGCAACAGGGGGCGGTTTTAATAACTGTTTATAAAGGGGATTGATGATGATATTTCATCACTTTTTCCATGCTTTGATATTTTTTTATATTAATGGGATAGCAAGTTGGCTGTATTCCACTAAGTCTAAGGCCTCTAGCTTCAGCGGCTTACGAAGAGCATCTGTCTGAAAAAAATGGAATCAAATTAAAGTGGTCTTCACATGTAAAGACTTTAGTTATTATCCCTATGAAAGTGTACAAATATTTTCGATTTAACGAGGATTATTTTTATTTGTTTATCAATGTAATATGTATGATAAAAATATGATTGTGGTGTAGAGGTTAAGATGTTTGCCTCTCACTCAATAGGTCCCGGGTTAGAAACCTGACAGCGACGGAAAATTTTCTTCTCTAAAATGTTCTCCTTTAACCTCCTTCCTGCTCTCTAACCATTTTCTTTCTTCTGCTTTCGTCTCCAATTTCTGCCCCACCCCTCCCACCTTTGCCCCACCCCTCCCACCTTTGCCCCCGTCCTCAGGGCTCCCGATACTGTTCCCCCTTGGCCCCTTCTTACTGCTGTCCTTCAGCTACACCCCCTGATGTCAGGACAGGTAAGATTTAACACCGGCTTCTCCGAAAAGGGCGAAAAGTCTCGGAGGTCCCGTGTGCAAGTTTCGCACGTTAAAGATCCTTTAGTGGTGCTTAATCAATAAGAGTAGGCTTCTGCCGCCACCCGAGCGAAATTCAAAATTAATTCCTACCAGACTGAAAATGTTTAATGTGTCCCGCGCGCCCATATGGCCTTATGCTGTTAAATTGCGAGTAACGTAAACATTTGCCACAAAAAAATGATGAAATCATTAACTGTGAACTTCTAAATTCTAACGTAACCCCATTACTTTCAAGAATGAAGTTTTATGAAATGCAAGTCTTTGGTGATCACGTAGTGCTGTCTCCCAATAACTGCACATTGAGGTGTCCTTTTTAGAAAATCGAGTATCTCCGTCGTTTTGTTGAAACGGTGTATCCTTTTCAGTACGGGTGGGCCATGGCAGGCAGGTTCGTAGAAGACCGTCTCCTAAATGATCTAAATTATGTCTGTGGTGGCGTAACATTTTTACATACAATTTGCAGGTCTTCAATTCTATGCTTTGATCGTCCTAATTGAAGTAGTTACGGGCGAAATGTAGCCTTTATTGAGCAGATTCGTTGGGAATCACAACTCGATTCGGCTCAACCTTTGTCCCAACGATCGATATCTGTGCCCATCATTGGTTTTATGTGTCAGTATACGGGGCCATAGTTGACGCGAAATCTAAAATTCCGAATCTCCGGCACGAATTGTGGCGTCATTGAGTCGCTATACCTCGCCTCTCTTGATGTGTAGTTCGTGGGCTCCCTGTGTGGCCAACTTCTTTTTAAAAAATTATTT